TCTGTGGGGGGGCCGGTTCCCCAGCAAAGGGCTCGTGTGGGGGCGGTTCCCCAGCAGGGGGCGCTAACACCCCCCGTCTCCTCCCTCCCCCCCCAGCTCAGCAGCAGCTGGAGGAGCAGGTCGGGGTGCTGCGGGACTCTCTGAACTCGCTCAACTGTGACTTGATCGAACTGAAATCCAACGGTGAGTGGCCGGGGGGGACCGGGATGGGGGGGCTTGGTGGGGGGGGAACTCCCAGCTACGCCAGCCACAGCCTCTCCCAGCAGGGGGCACTGTGGGGAGCGGGGCAGGGCGGGTGGCTGCGGGGGGAGCTCCCAGCTACGCCTGTCCCAGCCTCTCTCAGCAGGGGGCGCCGTGGAGAGCGGGGTGGGAGCACTGGCTTTTGGGGTTCAGGGGGGGTGGACGATTGTCTCCCCCACTGACCTCGCCCGGTCCCCCAGGGAGCCGGGCCGGGTGCTGCCCCAGGGGTTGGCTGCGCTTCGGGGACAGCTGTTACTGGTTTTCCGGCAAGCAGAAGACCTGGGAGGAATCGAACCTGTACTGCAAAGCCCAGAACTCCCACCTGGTCGTCATCAACACACAGGACGAGCAGGTAGATGGCGGGAGCCCCGGCCTCTCCCAGCAGGGGCGCCGTGGGGCGCGGGGCGGGCTCCCGGCTCCTCCAGCCCCGGCCTCTCCCGAGCGGGGGGCGCCGTGGGGGCGCGGGGCGGGCTCCCGGCTCCTCCAGCCCCGGCCTCTCCCGAGCGGGGGGCGCCGTGGGGGCGCGGGGCGGGCTCCCGGCTCCTCCAGCCCCGGCCTCTCCCAGCGGGGGGCGCCGTGGGGCGCATGCCTGAAATAATCCTGCGCCCATTATTTTCCCGCGGCAGCTGTACATACAGCAGCAGACGGTCCCTTGGTACACCTGGATCGGTTTGTCCAATAGAAGCGGCCGGTGGCAGTGGGTCGACGGTTCCGTCTACACCATGGACGCCCGGTGAGCAGCCCGGATTGGCCTCCCTCGGCCTCCCCACCGGGCCCCCCACTTCCTGTGTCCGTCCGTCCCCGGGAGACTCTCTCCACCCCACACTTCTCCCGGATTGCCCAGGTTAATCCTGAATCCCGCCCAATCTTGGCCTTTGATTTCCTCGTCCGATCGGCGCCAAATTCACGGTCAAATCGAATCGATCCTAATCCAGTCCCATCTCGTTCGTTACCTCGATTATCTAAGCCAGGGGTCGGTAACCTTTCAGAAGTGGTGTGCCGAGTCTTCATTTATTCACTCTAATTTAAGGTTTCGCGTGCCAGTCATACATTTTAACATTTTTAGAAGGTCTCTTTCTATAAGTCTATAATATAGAACTAAACTATTGTTGTATGTAAAGTAAATAAGGTTTTTAAAATGTTTAAGAAGTTTCATTTCAAATTAAATTAAAATGCAGAGCCCCCCGGACCGGTGGCCAGGACCCGGGCAGTGTGAGTGCCACTGAAAATCTGCTCGCGTGCCGCCTTCGGCAGGCGTGCCATAGGTTGCCTACCCCTGATCTAAGCCAATCCCTGCCCTAATCGCAACTATGAATCCCTTGAAAATAATACGTTCCAACCCCTAATAATATAATTAAATCGAATAATCCAGCTAATCCAATTTTGACCATGCCAATTTTATGAAATCTCTCTTCTAATCACACACGCTCTATCTCCTGATCTACGCCCGTCTCATATTATATCCTCTAATATAAATCCAAATCCAGAACTAGTATTAATTCAGTCCAAATCCCGGTCCAGATCCCAATCCAATACTGATCCAATCACTCTCCTGACCCAGTCCTGATCCAGATCCAATCCAGATCTAATCCCAATTCAAATCCAAATCCTCACCCAACCCATCCCTGTGCTAATCTGAATCCAGATCTGATTTGATTTCATAACTTCCTAAATGAATCTAATCAGATCCCTAATCCCAACCAATCTGCTCTCTCTCACTCCCATCCTCCACTCCCCCAGCTCTGCTTTCATTTCAGGGACTGGAGTCCGAATCAGCTGGATAACAGTTCCCCCCAATCCAGTCTCATCTAATCCAGCCCAATCCAGTAATCTAATCCACACCCCATGTAGCATCATCTAACCCAGCCTAGTCCAGAAATCTAATCCACACCCAATGTAGCATCATCTAACCCAGCCTAGTCCAGAAATCTAATCCACACCCAATGTAGCATCATCTAACCCAGCCTAGTCCAGAAATCTAATCCACACCCAATGTA